AGCCAAAACGTCTTCAGATGGGAACGGCTTTTGAATTCAGTGCTTTGTTTAAAGGCAAAATGCTTTATTACTGATTGCCGAAGCCCCAAGCCATGTATTTCTCTGTAGAGTTTCAAAATATTTTTCCGCTTCTTGATGCTGTGCTTCAGCCTTTAACGAAAGCCAGGTGCCTGCAGAGCTCGGAGGTAACACGGCAGCCCATCCCACCCTGGCCTGCGCAGCCTGCCTTTCTCTGCCCGTGCAATAGCCTGCTGCAAATGAATGCATAAAGAAACGGTTGTGTTTAGAACAGGCCAGGTAATTGTTCTTCCCCTGTGAAAAGTCACAGTGAAATTAACTGTTTTATTTATTTACGTAGCTTTTCCACGTCTCCATCAACGAATGAAGCAGACGGTTTTGCTTTTCAGCAAAAACATCTGTAGCTCGTATGCATGTGTGAATATTTTTGATTCACCAGCTTTTCCCCTTGCGCTTGGCACACTGCAGAGCCAGTTAAGCAAACAAGCCACCCAAAGACACTTTTAATCCTTTTTTTTTTTTAATGTATAACAGTTATGCCTGAGTTACAGAGAGACACCTACAGGCAGCAGGTAGTTAAAGCAAATACCAGTTTCTCTTTCTACTATACTACTCCATATAGCTGAATAAATTATGGTGCGATTATATATATACACACGCACGCACGCAGGCACACAGGCGCACGCACACATACTCACACGCAGGCATACACATGGAGCAAAATGGCTATGAGTCAAACACAGAAGCAACATATCCGCAGTTACTAGGAATAAGGAATGTCCTATAGTGCTATGTAGATATTCCCCAGGTGGGTATATGGAAATGTTAGGGATGATGGGTTAGAAGCATTAAATACACAAAGTCTCTGAGCGACAGGAGCCAATCTGCTGAGTTACTGGACACAGTGAGGAAATGTCCATTTTGTGGTCTCAGGATGGCGCTGAGAGGTGAAGGCAGGGGCGAGGGGAGGTAACAGAAATCCACTCGGCATTTTTCCTTTCCCCCAAGGATGTCAGTTCTTGTCTGCAGGCATGGAAGAAACATCGACCTGAGAGAACGTCTCTGGAGTGTGTCCCTTCACTTGGTGGTTTGTTTGGATGAGGTGCAGAACGATTTTTGGATTCCCAGGCACCCTCAGAGTCACTGATAGTTGAGTATCTGCTCAGTCCCTGTTTGGTCTGCTTTGAGCGATCACGACCGCACATTCTTCAGGGCCCCGCTGTCCAACGCTTTGTCTGCTGCTGTTTGCTACTCTTCCATGCTCGGTTTTGTTTTGCCTTCAAGGCACCTCCCTCTGTTCTGTCCCCCCCTCCCCGTCCCACCCCATCCCCTGAGTTTGTCTCTTTTCAGCAGAACTGAGGTTGGCAATCCATAAAACAAAACAAAACAAAACAAAAAAATACTTGGACTTTCATACATGAACGTACCTTAAAATAAAACAAAGCAACCAAAAAAACCTTGAAATCAAACCCATCCCACCCCAAAGATTCTGGAATGTATTTTGAAAACACACGATAGGCAAATTTCTACAGTTCATCCCCCCTCCCCCTTTTTTTTTTTTTTTTAACTAGCACGGCACTCACTGTGTTTTTAGTATAAAAAAATGTCAACTTTCTATAAACATACAGCACATGACCAAATTTCCAACTAATGTACAAAGTGCGACCACGAGGGAAAGGTCAGAGAATAGCTATTTGCGCTAGCATGGGGCGTTCTTCATATTCCTCTAAGAACTCTATTTACAGCAGTGCCCGGACGTTCACGGACTTTCTGGTGAAGGTAATTGGCAATTAGGTGTCTATGGTGCTCCCTCTTTTTAATACTTTTTACTTTTGGGGTCCTGCACTCTGCGCTGAGCTCAGCTGAAGTCCTCCTAGACAACATGCTGGCAGCGCGGACCAACTGTCCGCTGTTGAGGGATGCTTGGGAGACGTGTGTGCACGCACGGGAGAAGAGGTAACGGCGGGGAGAAGAGAGCCAGCGGGGCTTTGCGAGCAGGAGCAGCGGACAAGCAGTCCTCAAGACAAACTGAAACATTCCTTCTAGTTTAGCAGGCAGCTAGGAATGCATTTGGTCAGAGATTTCAGTATAAAGAACAAGGGATTGCAACCATCTGGCAAGATACAGGGCCAACAGTCGCCATCTACAAACTCCCTCTTGCAGTGGCAAGGCTGTAGATTTGAAGGTGCTCCCAGATGGGGCAATTATTGGCATTTGGCCTCTTAAATACTATTAAATGTGGCACGCAAGAAAATCATGTGCTCTATTGTTTTAGCAGTCAGCTCAGAATGATATCAAGACACGGGAACAAATTCAAACAGGGGCTTCGGTCATTAATCCCTACACCAGCATCCACCGCAGAGACACCCTTGCTCACACCCTCGCTCACACCCTCGATCCTCCAGGTCAGGTGTGGCTGAAGGTTACCATTGTTGGGAATAACATTTAAGCCAGGACTGGAATTCAAAAGGGATTTAAAGCTTTGTGATCCAAGGAAAGTCTTTCACAACTAGAGGGAAGCTTTACGTGTGGTATAGCTGGACAAGCAGAGGCTGAGTTGGGATCTCTGGAGCATAAATGACAGCAATACAGCCTCTGGATGCAGGTGTCACCCTGCACAAGAGCTCCTGCATGGAAACATGCATGTGAGCACGCGAGAGGCAGAGCAGCCAAGCTGGTGTAATAATATGCTTTTAGGAATGTAGAGCAGGCTCTGTCACAGCCGTAAAGCAAAGCTGATGAAAGCCGTGTGTGGCTCTGATAGGATGCTGAGCAACGTAAGCAGCACAACTCTGCTTTGGTCAGAACAGGTACTCATCCACATGGCTCGAGAGAAAGCAGCTTGGTGGTTCATGATAAATGATGTTGGGGCAAGGCAGGGGACAGGTCCCCAGAAAAAATGTTGTTTCAGCTGCAAAAACAAGATCAGACTATTTGAGAAGAATGGAAGAAGCAGCAGCAACAGAAGAGAGCACGTCAAAAGTGTCTCCTTTAACAACCTAGGAGCATATGCTAGACCAGAACTCATCCGACCATGTGGTCCTCCGATGTCACCAGTGGTCAAAAGCAGACATTCATTATCCTGAAGTAGACATATCAGATAGTAAGCGTGTTATAAACCCTAACAGTCTGTAGATGATTTTAAGTACTGCCTGTTGCCATTGGACTTTACACATCAGCTACCGGCTGGCACAGATTCTGTGTATCGGGGTGGTTATCTCAGGGTCAGCTTTCCTTGCTCTCTCCAGGTCAAACTTCAGCACGTTCTTGAAGTGAGCCCTCTCAACATAGGAAGGTGAGGGGAAAAAAGTCTATAATATTAGACATCTGCTTAGGAATCATCAGGGATCATCACCACATGCAAAAGGGAAACTATTTAAAAACCCGTGTGGGTCATGACTTAGCAATAACCTCTTATTGTTGGCTGCTTTTATCCAAGCAGTGTGATGAGCAGAATTGTGAGCCGATACAAAAGCGAGAGCACTGGCTGCTACAGAAAAGTGGGGTGATAAATCCAGAGAACAAGATCTGGCTTAGAGAGAGAGAGGCTCCACCACCAAAATGAAAAGCAGAGGGAAGGGACTGAGAGATTGAGTTGTACAGAACAGTACATGAAATGAGAAGGGTGGGGGAAGAACCGGGAGGATGGACAGGGGCAAGCATTTCTCCTGGCAGCTAAAGAATGCCGTTGGTAAGGTAAATGCTTTCCTGCGGTACAAATAGGTGCAATGTTGCAGCTGAGAGCACCTTTCCTTCCTAGCTGCTGCTAGAAAAACGCTTCAGGTCATCTCCCCTCTGACTCCATGGCCACATCCACCCCTCAGTGAGAGGCAGCTGCAGGAAAGCACCTTCGGAACAGGCACCATTTTCTTTCAGGTGGCCCTTTACTCGTAGAAGAACCTGGCTTTGCATACTGACCCCTCCAAGCAGGCAGCTAACCAGCACCTCTGACTCTTCCCTCTCTTGTCTTTGCTCTCATGGCCAGTGTCTCTCCCACTGAGTGAAGGAAGGGCCACTGACAGTCCTCGCCCTTCTCGACTGGATGGGCAAAAGCTCTGACACCATCAGGTGTATCTGACGCCCTTCCTCTGTGCATGCAAGGCCAGTGTTCGCTATCACATCTCCTGCTGCTGTCTGATGCCCATGTCTTTTCAGTGATAATCAGGTCTAAATTGGTCCCTAAGAGGAAAAGTAAATGTTGCTCGTGCCTGCGCCCATAATCTCCAGTCCTCATGCAGCAATTTACATTTACACTTTCCAAAGGTCCCAGGCTGGACGGACTTACATTCTGCCCCTGCTTAGCAGCAATCTGGCCTGCTTGGGCCCTGCTTTGGGAAGCCATCAGTGAGAACGGAAGGGTAGAGTGGGGTGGGGAAATTTGCTGTCACTTTAATATATGTTTTTCTGGTTTTGTTCGTCTTTGTGTTTTTTTCTTTCTTAAACAAGTTCTTATATTTGGTCCATAGGTTTTCTGTGGTCCCGAATTATATCACCCTTAATGATCAGGTTGGTTATTTCTTCCTATACAACATTCACCAAATTTACAGCAATGGAAAGAAAAGGAAACAAAATGAAACATTTCATTTTTTACAAAGAAAAAACCATCAGTTTGGTTTTGACTATGCCAACTACCTAGATCAATGGAAAGTCCTTAAGTGTGGGCAAAATGCCATGGCCAGGTAGGTTAGAGGGAGGGCATGAACTCAGGGTTAATAAATGTACCCAACCTGTTGTCTCTGGCCACAGGAGGAGTCAGGTCACAGAGGCCAGGCTGGCCTCTGAGAAGAGTGCTCTGGGAGGAGCCGGATACTTAGAGAGTTCTCCCCCTCTTTCCCATCTCCTTCACAGCTCAAGTTGGTGCAAGGTGGAAGGGAATTGGGAAGGAGTAGGGTCCGGGGTACATGTAGATCCCTAGAAGGCTGGTGGTGTTTTCTCCAGTGGTACCAAGTTGCTGGAGTGGGTTGTTGGCACAGTCGGACTCTTCAGTAAGCTTGGCCTGTCTCTACTGGTAGGAGGCCCAGAACGGCTGAATGTTCTCCCAGCTTCATCCTACGCTGTGTAGACAGACTCACATTCTTGGCCAAATAATCAACAGCGGCTGAAGAGGAGGAGGGAAAAAAAGGAGGGTGAGAAAACAGCATAACATTAGCATTTAGTGGAAACAAGGCTTTCAGCATCAAAGGGTGTGTAACCAACAGACCTCACGGACTGACTCTTACAAAAAGAGGTCCAATGCAGTGGTTGTCGCAGACACGAGGGTCCTGCCGCACTCCTAGGAAAGACTGCAAACACATGATGGTCCTGCCAGAAACACCTGACAGGACAGGCACTGCTGGGGTTAAGCGCAGCTGCGGTGTGCAGAGTGTACCCTGCATCCTCTGAATCTCTCCATGGACCTACTAGAAAAGAGCTCCCCAGTGGCAAAGCCAACTCCTGCACTCAGCAATGCTGGTGTAAATGATTCCAGAGATTCCAGTGGAAGCTCACCAAGTCCGGACAGGGCTTGAATCTGACTCATCTGCTGCATGCTGACTCATCTCTGCAAGCTCTGCTGCCTGCCTTCATCCACCCTTCCTAAGGGAAACTGCTTTGCCTATCTCCATCTGGGATTGAAACGTAGCCACAACTCCTGAGGCAATGCGTGAACCTGTATCCCAGCTCGCTTGACTGCCCCATGGTCTGAGGGGGAAGAGGACCAGGGCAGGATGGTGACATTGCTCATTAGCTGAGCTTCAGTCAAAGTCTCTCCCTTTCACTAGCTTTAATGTCTCAAATTAGATTAATAAGGAGCTGGCAGGAGATGTACAATCGGTGCCAATGAGTAAACAAATTTCAGCCATCAACGTCTTGTCAGACGCCTGCCCCAGAGGAGGTCCCTTCCAGACACAAATTCTTATTAGACTTGTCATATCTATTAGAATTCCTTTCACGCTTCTGCGTTCCATCACCGGCATCATTAACACAGCTCCGGCCTTTGGGAACCGCAAGGACCACATTAATCTGGCATCTCTGCTCCTCACCGGCTGGGACAGGCTGGTGCGCTGGAAGCGAGCAGGCTTAGCACAGGGTGAGTTATCCAGGGCTGAAGTGAGGCCTGCTGGGGAGCACGGCTTCTGCAGGCGGCAGGGTCTGAAAGGAGCTGAGTTGGGCAAGCGGAGCTGGCACGCTGGCTGGTGCTCCTCAGGAACTGGGTTCCTGGCGTAGCTCAACTCTGTATGTACTACAGTGCCTCTAGCTTCAAGAGGGGTGTACGTAGGATTAAACCCCAAGCTACAGCTCTTGTCCAGACCTTATCAGCTTGGTGCCCTGATATTTCAGGTAACCACATTAAATACTGTCTTTGAGTGGCTGTAGGGGAAGAGGAGATTCACTCCTCCGATACTCCGTGCAGGTGCGTGTGGTTGTGCCCTGTTCCTGTTGTCACCATGATGAATTCAGATGGGTGCTTGGGAAAGGAAGGAGGTGAACAGTCGGAGCCAGTCATCCTGCTCTGGGCAGTACCCAGCAAAATGGAAATTTGATGGCAATCCCACCCTTCTAAACAAAACATGCTAAACTCCCAGATTGCTTTTTATGCCAGTGGGAGGAGTTCAAAGGCACTGGGGTATCCCACGCCAGAAGTCAAAGATGTAGTTTGTTGCTTTAATACAGCGGAAGCCAAAATAAAAGCAGAAACTTACCAAAAGTACCCAGGGTGTTTATTTGCTTATGTGAGAGAGAAAGTGTGTCTGGTTTTGTGTTTCTAAAACAGACAAGAAGAAGGAGAGAAGTGGGGGGATAGAGAGATTCTCTGCAGGCCAGGTCCAAAGCCTATCAATGCTGCACAGCATTGAACATTGAACAATGCTTACAAGCCCTGGTTATGTTCCCGGTTATACAACGCCTGCCCCCACCATAACACCCCCCCATTTTTATTATAAAAATCACTCACTAAAAAGAGTTTTGATACTTTTTTGTCGCATCACAGAAGGAAGAAACATAGGGTTTGAACTGAACATCAATAAATGATCTTGCGGAGGTCACCTCATACCAATCAGCATTTAAACAGCATTTGAAAAGAAGCGGTGAAGAATTAAAAAGCAGGAGGAATGAGAAGTATCTGCTAAGTATGACATGTGCCGAGAAAGACAAGAAAAAGTGTTGTCATATCAAGGTCAACTTCACGTAAGTGATTGCTCTAACAGGACTAATTACCAACGAAAACTGTTTCCTAGCATAGAGCTAATTGTAAATGGGGCTCATAAGAAAGGTTTATAGTGAAGCAGACTTATATACTGCCTGTGCAGAGCTGTAAATGCAAATATCTATACATAAATGTGCACACAGCATGGATTTGCTGTTTAATGTAGATCCCACCTTAGAACAGCTACAGTTGGTTTGTGCTGTATCTGCCATGCAGCATGGCATTGGCTTTGGCCCTCGGACTTGCCATCACGCTGGGTGTGACTCCAGCTCCCAGCACTGGGAAGCAGTGGCACTGTGCATGGTGCATGATGGTTTCTCACCTACCGTCCTTGCCCCAGCAGGAAGAATGCCTTCGTGACAAGCTACCTGCATGTCTCCAAGCATGGGACATGGCTGGACTAACTCTGTCGACCACGCAAGACTTGCTGCTGGGCACAGACCTGTTGGCAGCCTGGACTCTTGTGACTATTAACAGGAAAACATTCCTGTTCAGAGCCGAGCCCAGTGGGCTCCAAACTGAACTTGTAGATTGAATGGGTGTCCAGTAGAAGACAGTGAGCCATGCGACAGAAATCAGGAAAGGAGGGCAAATAAAACAACATAAATCAGGCTGCGTGAGCAGTTTTTCATCAGCACAAGGAGAGGCCCAAGTAAAAATTCCTGCAGCAAACCAAGACAAACCCTTCTTTCTCTTTCCTTTTCCTTTGCTGGTCTCTCTCTCTCAGAAAACGTAGCTTGTCCTCCTTATTTTATTTTTTACACACATGGGTGTGACTAACGTCTTGCCCAAGGGAATCTTTATTGGAAATACATGGTATTGGAATTTGTTTAAGATTTTTATCAATAGCACGTGTGTCCAGCCTCACATCCAGAAGCGAGGGGAAGGTCAAGGGGTCACAGATCAAACTCCCGAAAAACAAAAAAAGGAGGGGTGGGGGGAAGCTGCTATTGATCCCGTCTGCCGCCACAGCCGGTTCTCATTTAGCTGTAGAAGTTAAAGACATTAAAGGGCTGTGACGGAGAGGGGAATAAAAAGCCACAGCCAAATGGAAGGAAAGGTCACTGAGGACAAGCTATGGGCAAGCAGGAGCACTCCCGGAGGAAGAGGATGCACCTTTAACCCTCCGCGGATCACTCTCTCACAACACCACACTTATTATTAGTTTAACACCGGCAGGTGAGCCCTTTGCCAGGCTTGCTAGTGTTTTTGTGACCCAACCATTCTGGAGGAGAAACAGACCCTCCCAAGGTCCCTCTGCCTTTCGGGTCTGAGGTCTGGGTTCAGGATTACAATTCCAGCCTCACTTCAGCTTTTGCAGAACCACAGCCCAGTTGACAGGCATCGGCTTAAAGTTTTTAGTAGCAAAATCTCTCGAGCGTGGACCCAGCCCTTACCTTACAGAAAGCAGGAGAGGAAGAGACACATAGAGTTCTGCATCACTAAGGGCATTAAAATCCCAGCTTTCCTTTGGCTGAGCAGGATGAACACATTGTAGGGCTTTTGGAGAAGCAAGAGTTGGAGACAGGGAAGGAGAGAGGTCTGGAAGTTGTCCTTCTTTTCTAATAGAAATGTTTTACTTAAAATATTTTAATTGGGATTTTTGAATTGGACCGAAAGGGTGTTGGGGAGGCTCTGTGGAGCAATCTCCGTGTCTGGTGATTAGATTCCCTTTTTCTCTCTAGATGGACTGATGGGAATCCCTTCCAATACAATATCCATACCTTCTTACATCCCCCCCCTCTCTTCTCCTGTTCCCTATGCAGGGGGAATACAATCAGCACACTTACTTTGTCCGTACTGTCCATATTGGTAGCCAGCCACTGGGTCCACACTGTAACTGGTGGTGCTGTAGGTGGGAGGACAGTAGGACTGGGAAGTTGGGAGGCTGTCCACGGACTTGATGGAGTCACTCCGCTGGCTGCAGCTGGCAGAAATGGAGTTGGTGGTATCCAAGCCACCGTGAAGGGGAGAGATGGAGAAGTCAGCCTGGGGTTGCGGAGGAACCCCACTGGGGTTGCTCAAGATGCTCATCACCTGGAGAAACACAGGAGACAATGCGTCAATGTCTGGAGGAAAAAGGGTATGTGTGCAGCTGCCTTCACGTGTACCAGGGAGAAACGTTCTACATATAGTGGTGCTCTATCAGTATAATACACAACATCAATATAGGTTTGGCCAGGCTGGAGAATGAAGGCCTGCTTCCACCAAATAGCAACAGATGGACCCTGCAGTTGGCTCCTCTGTGCCTAACGCTTTATTTGAAAGATTTTAATAGGGATATTTGAGAAGTTCCTTCACGGCACATTCAGTCTTTGGTCTTTCTTTGCTGACATGCCAACAACGTTAGCTGTGCTGTTCAGAATGAACACTGGAGAAAGGAATAAACCTGGGACAAACCTGCTAAACAAGCACTGCCATGAACTAGCACCCCCTCCTTCCTACGCACAGCCCTCACAGAAGAGGAGACACATGAGTCATGGAGCAAAAATACATATTTCCAAAAAAAGGGATGCTTAAGACAGCCCCTTTCTTTGGAAGTCTGAGTGGGGCTTGGTTCTCAAAGTTCCCTCACCAAACCAGACACAAACCCTTTCCGGCTTTGATGCAGATTCAGATTTAGGGACTGAAATGTCAAAGTTCTCTTTACTCTCAAATGTTAAAGGATAACAGGTCCTTGGTTCAGCTCGTTTCAGTGTAGTGCTTGGTTTGAAAATGTAATTAAATTTGCACACAAGCGATCTTCCTGCCTGGAGACCTGAAACAGATGAACTTACGATCTTTTTTTTCTTCTTTTGCGGGAAAAATGCCAGATTTGTTCCTGAGGGTGAGTTTGGGGTAAGCTGCTGCCTACAGGCCTTCACACAAGGACCCTGATCCCACCAGCGCTTTAATGCAATTGCCTTCTGCAATCAGCAAAATTACCCCCGGGCTGCCAAGTTAAAAGTGTAAAGAGTTTGCAGAAGCGGGGCCATGGTGAGGGAAGGAAGGGAACTCCTGATGCCTCTCGGTTGATCTCTGCAGCCGCCGCAGGCGTGCCTTGCCGTATTTGTGCTGAGGAAGGGCGGGGGGAGAGGGGACAGCCAGTCACCTCGGGGGGCCAGGCCAGTGCTCAGATGCCGAGCGGCTGAAAATCTCCGAATTTAGCATAACCTTATTGACATCAATTAAAGTGGCAAATTGGAAATATTTGGAGCCTGGCAAGTGGTAAAATGAGTCCTTTATCCCCCACCAGCGGCCTGGTGAGCTATTGTGCAGAGGATACATTCTCTGGAAGGACACAAGAAGGGTTGTATAGAGCGGCATCTCCCCTTCCTGCTCACCCCGACACCTTCCCCATCCCTCCTCCCTCACCTTCCTGCTGGAGTGGGGGCTTAGGCTGAATGACTGGCTACGTGCTGGCCTTTGCTTTCTAAAGCTTCTCCTCCCCCCGGAAGGACTCAGGAGCCCTGCAAAGACGCTTTCTCTTGATGCGATGCCACCTCCTGACTCAGCCAGCCTGAGATCCTTCCCAGGCATTTGTCTGGGAGGGGAATTCAGGAGCAGGGGTGGCTGGACCCCCGCGGAGGGGGAGGCGGTGGGGAGGTACTGGGGAGGGGGTTAGTTAAAAAGCCTGGAAAATCAATCTAACCCCGACCACGGGGTTTGTCTGCAGTGTGGTATGGAGACACAGGAATGAGCTTTGAACAAGCCAAGTCAAAGCAGTGCAGTGGCGGCTGCGTGGAGCTCAGGCAGGGTTCATTTACCCTCTCCTACTGCACTGAGCTTGGACTTTGCTACTGGTCCCCAAAAGTTAAACCTAGCTTAGGTGTTACTACACTGTGGGGCAGACGGTGCTCCAGACAGAGCCTAAATTACCTCCAGCTCTCCAGACTCTCCAGGCACAGCTTCTTAATCATAGTGATTAAGCCTTGAGGTATCTAGATGAAGTTGTTTAGCCATACGCTGTGCAAAATGTGCCCATGGAACTCCCTGCCCCATGACAGCCCAAAGACTGAAAGGCAGGGATATGAAGAAAGGAAATTGCATTTAAATATGCAAGACAGAGTGGATTAATATGAGAATAGGGCTGTCATGCTTTTCTGTGTGGATGTAACGTAAACCTCTCTGCCTCAAGGCTTATGCAGCGGGAAAATCATGGGAGTGCAGCCTGAAGGTAGCTTTTCCAGCTGCAAAGTTATTTGTAACCTTCCACTAAGCTGGGTCACGAACTTTGATCTGGTTCAGCTACGAATCTTCCTTCTCTGCCCCTCGATTCTGCCAGCTGCAGGCAGACCTTGTAGCTTCAGCCTTAGCTATAGGTGTTAGCCCCCACACCTCTTTGCCTCGACGGATATCCAGAACGCTCGCATATACAGCAGCCATGAGACGTTATTTGATTTCATTTGTGAGCAGAATCAGATGTTTAAAACAATAAACATCCTTCTGGCATGCGCAAAACCACAGCCGTATGAATTCTGAGTTATTTTTGGAAAGCTCCAGCTCGGGCAGCATGAAGCCCAGCGGTTTGGCCTCTCCCTGCCTGAGCTGTCCAGGTCTGGCAGTGCTGCTGGGCTGCGGACATGCTGCTGGGCTGCGGACATGCTGCCCACACTGCCAAGCCCTGCAGGTGCAGAAAAGAAATCGTACACTGTAAAATGAAGGGCAACTGGAACCATTCACAGACCAGAAGGTTTTCTAGTGCTCTCCCTCCTGGCCATCTCCCCAAAAGAGTCAGCTGCTTTATATTACTCAGAGAAAATAAAAGGTTCTTAAAGCAAGCAGAAGTCATATTAACACTTCCGCTATGGCCCTTTTAAAAAGAAAGGGGGATGTAAAGCAACATTGGTAAATGAAACCCAGATTCACACTCTTCAAATTCAGAGGAACTGAGACTGGAGAATACACTTGCACATAATCCTACTAAAGACAGTAATTGGTTTTAATCAGTCAGAATTAGGACTGATTTCTAATCCCAGCTCTGCTACTGACTCACAAGGGCTTGTGCAAGTCACTTAAGCTAGGACTCAACTCAACTAACGTTAGCCACATGAAGTTAAGTTTCTAGTCTCTGCTAGTCCTCTAGAATCCCTCTACAGAGAGACTGACAGTTCTGAAGGACAATTCATCCCATCCTAAGACCCCTTTCTAAAAATGACGGGCTGAATTTCCTTCTGGAAATCCGTGGTGAAACATAAGGATGCCAGTATTTCACCACAATGATGCCAGGGTGGTAAGCAGATCCGTAACTGTATGGAGGCTGGAGAGGGGAGCTGCTGGAGGGTGAGAGATGCACATCCCTGCTGGATGCTCCCATGGAGGTAGGGTGGCTGAGCACTGCAGATGAACCCTGATAGAGGCTGTGGGGCTCAGCTGAGCCAGGCGCCCCAGAGATCTCCATTCCTTCTTCAGCAACGCTGACCATAGGAAGTGTCTGCCTTTTCCAGCCGTGCTGAGAGCAATTGAGGCTGAGCTCCCCCAAGACTCTGTTTGCACAAGTTTATCAGAGGACAGCATCCGATCTTCCCCACCCCAGGACATGAAGGTGTTAGAAATAACAAGAGTGAACTGGAGATTTCTATTCCCTCTTCACTATGCAGCCACCCAGCATGGATAACCCTACATGAGCCCTCCAGCCTTGGCAGGCCCGCGTTATCTGACTTCTTGTTTCAACTGGATAAACTCATTTTCCAGGCAACTTTTGAACTTAGGAAAGTCTGGGGCATCTGGAGAAATCCCCTCCTCAAGAATGCAAAGTCCTTTTACCTTTTCTTTTTGACCTTGCTTTCTTATAATTTATTACTTCTTGGTGCATTATCATCACTAACTAAAAATCAATACCCACTTCACATCTGTAAGGTTTTATCTGGAGGGAAATCTGCTACCTGTCCATCACAGTGATTGACAGCCTTCCCTTTCCCCTCCCTCTCATCAGTTGTCTCTCCCTTTCCCCATCTCCTTTCCCTTTGCTGCTGTCCCAAATCAGTCACAGGCGTGGCGTGGGCTTGCACTTCGGGGTAAGTCAATAACAGCCACGGTGCTAGGAGCCTTCGGCCTTGTTTCTACCCTTTCCGGAGGTCATTTGTCATTGGGGAGAGGGGGTAGGGGTCTTGATGTGTTGGGGAGACCAAGGTTAATGCACAAAGACCCTCCTGGATAAAAGAGCCAGCCCCCCCCTCCCCGCCTCCTAGGACGTTTCATCACTCTCTCCTATACTTTAAAAGAAGGGGAGTTAAAAAAATGTAATTAATTCCCTCCATTTCTGAGCTGGCCCTCAGGGCCTCTGGCCGTGGAAACTGTAGCAGGGGAAATGTGCACCCTTTATGATAAACGAATGCGGCTTTGGAAAGGGAAGTGCAATTAGGGCCTTCAATCTGTGCAATCAGGCCTTCAGATTTTAGGGTTGGGGGGGGACAGTTGGGTGTGTTTGGGGGGGCAGGAGGGGCTAGAGGGGCAGACAAGTGACAGGGAGAGATGCTGCTGGGATAGAGAAGGGTGTGAGCGCATCAGGGAGGGGAGAGGGAAGGGAGCTCCTAAGTTTCATACCAAAACCTGGCCCCCACAGACCTGGCTGCTGCACGTCACCTCTGCGGTCAAGAGCTCTACGGGAAATACCAGGGCAGCCCAGGCCACGCTGGACAGGCTGTGCATCCTCAGAGTCCCTGCATTATCTGTTCGCTTTAGGCTTGCTAAGATACCCAGCTGACAGAGATATCAGGCCCTGGACACAGTGGGTTTCAGATCTACACACAGTGATGCTACACCACCCTGAGACCAGAAAGGCACAGAGGTGGTGTAAAGAGATCAAACTGAAGCAAACAAAGCGATGGGGAGGCGGGAGCCTGCGGACAGCATTTTCCAGAGTGACCCCTGATTCTGTGGTGTGTCCATTTTTGGACACTCGATTTGACACAGCACAAAGCGTCCAAAATCAGAGGCTGCCTTAGAAAAATGCTGCATTTAGAAACTGCTGAGCCTGGCTAAGTTCTGAATAAAGGGAATACGTAATGATCTGCAACTGGCTGAAAGGTGGTAAGTCCAGAGAAGCTACCGGGTGG